GTTTTTCTTTCTTTCTTTTTTCTTCAAGCAAGTAGTTTTAAAACAGGTGCTACAGCGGTGGCTGTTTCTGGCTGTTTAAATCTAGCGGGTTTGATGTCTTGCAAATACAATAACGCTGGTAGTGACGATTCTGTCTGACCAATCAGTGAACTGCAGTGTGTTCACGGCACATTTTAGTATCGGTACGGTACGCTTGGAACCTCAACAGGTGGTACCATTTAAAGCCGTACCGTACCGTACCATGCAGTGGAAAAGCGCCATTTGAAAGGACAAGAACATTTGTGGAGACACATTTTATATATTGTATAAACATAAAATGATGCACATATCAGCTTTCAATTAATTTGGTTTGACATCAGCCGTAAAGAGAAGTGTTTTCTTCTGAAGAGTTGAGGTTTACCATTGCAGATTCACTTCAGTTTCTATAACAACTGTATCTTTACAATATTACAATATTTCTAATGGTACAATAATTAACATGATTAACATCTGTTATACAGTGTGTTATACAGTATAATCAGAATCTGCAGTGTGTTTCATCATGTAAATATCATGTGTTTAGCGTCGCCTTCAGATCTGGCTTCTGTTGCTGGCGGTCTGGGTTCGGTTCTGCTGGTTCTGACTCTGTGTTCTGGAACCTTCATCATCCTGAAGAAGAGGAAGAGGAAATCTGGGACAGGTAACAGTTTGTTTGTGATTATAAAGTCCTTTTTTTTAGTGTTTGAATTGATTTGACTTGTTCTTTTTTTCTCTATTCGTGCTCCATTCAGCTTTATTTCAGCAAAACATGCAGCGCGATACAGAGGTGTGTGTCCAAATCTTTACCTGCAGAAGATCAGAAATACATGTTAAATGATTTTTATTGACCGACAGAGATAATTATCTGCATAAACTATTCAATTATTGATTAATGTGTTTTTTTTTTAGACTGAACGCATGTATGAGGAGATTCCAAACCACAATGTCACTATGGTAACGTCTTCGTCCAATCAGAGGCCTCCATCTTCATCCAATCAGACGCCTGCATCATACATCAACACCCGCCCACACATTTCTACTGTTTACGCCACAGTAACCAAACAGCAGCCTGATTCAAACCCCGGTCACACCCACTCGACCAATCAGGTGACAGAGACAGCCGGTGATTATTATGCCAATATAAAGTGTCCTGAAGCAACACAGAACATCGGGACAGAACTGATCTACGTAACAGCAACACATCCTCAAAACATCACAACACACGAAGGTCCGATATATTCAGTGATCAATGATAAATGAAAAAGAATGAAAATAATGTGAATAAAATGTAAAAATGACACAAAATTCAATATTCTTTGTTATTAGTACACCTCATCTACAGTTTAATAAAGCTATTAAAAATGTAAAATATAGCATAAAGCAGTGATTATGAGGAAATACACAAAAGAGGCAACATTAGTGTCTAAGAAAGCATGTTAGGGAGAATCAGAGCAACATCATGATGAAGTTTAAGTGCAAAAGGCAGTATATCTTTGCCAGGATATTGCATGAAACACTACACAGCTCCTTTATATCTCCTCAGGCTCCTTCAAGACATGGTGTTTGTCTCCGCGTGTTTGTATTCTGTTGTGAGCGCACAGTTCGTGTTTACTTCGGCCGTGTGCTTTCATGTCATGTTTTGTCTTGTACTGTGTAGCACGCTGTGTGCTTTTATGTTGTCATGTTTTGTGTGAACATGTGTGGCTTAATGAGTGTTCTCATAAGCTGCGTGTCCATGTCTCGTTTTTGTGAGCACATGGCTTGTGAATGGTTTTGCTGGCCATGTACTTGCTTTAGTCATGTTTGTTGTGAACACATGGCTTGTGCTCTCCTGTCGATTGTCTAAAGGCGGGCATAGACTGTGCGATGTCTGTGTGATTTCTGTCAATATCAAGATGATTTAGCATTTCCAATGTATGTATTAAATTATTATTAGTATTATTGTATTATTATTATTATTATTATTAGGTAAGGCCTAGGCTACTTTTATTGTTAAATTATTTATAATTATAAATTTATAATTGATTTGCCATGCAATAATTTCACAGCGCATCACCGCATAACTGACATGCTGCGAAGATTAGACAGAAGCTTTCACCTCCTCATTGAAAATTGTTTAAAAACATTTAGGTCGATTACAATTAATTATAGGCCTATAATTAAAATGATTAATAATCTATAATATGTCCAACACTGCAATAATCAGTCACTTTATTTCAAAAACAGCTTGTTTAACATAAGCATTGTTTAACAAATGAATAAAAGAGGCACAGTAGCTACATCGCCGGTGGCTTGGAAGACGTGGGTAATATGGTTTATCAATTTTGCAACACGAACTGGAGGTAAGCAACTGTAATTTGTAGCTAGTTTGAGCTACAGAACTTAAAGATCTCCCTCTTTTCATTTTATTTATTGCTGCATTAAAAATGAATACATTAAAGATGATACTCCATCTTTTTTTTATATTAAACTATGTAATTCCCTTAACTAAGACGAGTTGATACATACCTCTCTCGTCTCAGTGCGTGCACTAAATCGCTCTGGCGCACGAGACACTTTGATAGCACTTAACTTAGCCCAATTCATTTTGTTAGGATCCAAGCAGAGTAGCGACCAAACACCTCCACGTTTTCCCTATTTAAATACAGTTACTCGAGTAGTGTAACTCGACCAAGAATGGTGACACAAAATAAAACGTTGAGCTTTTCTAAGCATGTAAAGTAGATAACTATAATGTATGGCGGAATACCACAGCAAGTGCTTGCAAAGTTTCGCTGCAAGATAGAGCGATTTAGTGCACGCACTGAGACGAGAGAGGTAGTATCAACTCGTCTTAGTTAAGGGAATAACATAGTTTAATATGAACAAATGGTGGAGTATCCCTTTAAGTAAAAATGTAGATGAAAAGCTTTTGTGTACTCAGTGTTTGTAAAATCAAGCATCTTATTCAAATGTCAAAACACTGCTGGATCTCATACTGTAAACTCACATGGATAATATAATCTGCATAATACAAAATTAATAATCTTAGAAATAATTGCCTATAATAAGAGGATTAGACTCTGAATGAGATCAGTGATTTAGACCTCTAAACTGCAGCAGCCAGAGAAAAACTAATGTAAAAAAGCCAAGGGTCAAGAGAACAACTAAAGCACACACTAATCACCATAATGGTGACTTCAACTGATACAATTATTATCATTAAAAGAGAAATTACAGAAATAAAGTCAGTCTGGGGTGCGTTTCCCGTACAACGACATAACTCGATGCTTCACTCCCATAGTGCGATGCATCGTTGAAGAAATCAACTAGCTAGTCACGACTGTTTCCCGAAACCATATGTCGCAAAGTGGTGTTCAACCACATTGGTTTATGACGTCACGCACATGGTGGAGTAATAACTTATTTTAATGAAACTGTTTGAGATCGAATTAATGCTAGATATTTTGATATAAATTGCAGACATGCATCTGAGGAACATTTCTAATTTTTCTCAGTTATTTTGCATTATTTCCAGATTCAATCATATGCTCGTTCTTACATAGTAGAGCACGTTCGCACATGCGCAGTCTTCACTGTGCTTTAAATATCTTGACAAACTCAAAGATGTCAAACACAATTTGTATGTATTCTAAATAAAAGATAAAGGTTGTACTGAATGTCAGCTTGCTTCTTTTTATCAAGAAATAGATTTATGAAGTCCACATGTCATGCAATCTAGAAACTCTGCTTCTATCCGCAGGTCGAGATCTGTCGTTCCAGCCACACAACTTTGCGATGCTGTTTGCGAATGTTCGTTGTAATGATGGTTTCGGGAAACACCGACTCGTTGAACTGCTGATAATGACGGAACTTGCGATCATAGTTGGCTAACGATGTTTTCGGGAAACACCGCTGGTTAGTAATAAGTGAAGCTGGTAATGCTGTTTGTGGAGTTGTTTAATCCCCCTCTTCTGAGATCTTCACAGATTTAATGTCTTCTTTTTATCTTCAGTTTATTTGATTTAAGACTGTGGCTTGTGCTCTCCTGTCGATTGTCTTACCCCACCCATCTTGTTGCCTGATTATTGGTTCATTTGCCCCGCATGTCTTCCCTCATTACCCTCTTTTGTTTGCTTCCTATTTTGTCTCCTTGTGTTTGCAGTCCTGTGCTGGATTGTCTTTGAATGTTCCCTTGAGTGTTCCTTGGTCAAGTCTTTCTGCTTGTCATGTTTTGGTAGTGTTTGTTTGTGTTTTGTTCTTATTTTTTTTATCAATAAAGCCCATTGTTTCCTGCAATTGAGTCATCGCTCCCTTCACTCAACCCTGAGAGAAACATGCATGTATCATGAACTTTTGTTGATCACAGAACTTGTTTATTTTTGCAATAATCCGGAAGCCTGTGGGAAAATCCTATTGGGTTTTTGTCAAGGGATTCAGTGTGATGTGAATGGCCGGCTGGATTACAAGTGTAAGACTCTTCTTTCTTATGACAATGAACACCGGAAGAGAACTGATACTTGAGAAGTTGTACTGTTACTAAAATACTACAGGATAATCATGTTTAAAATAATGCCATTTATTCAGTGTGTTTTACATGAATACGCCTTCATTAAACACATAACAGGGTCAACAACTATATTACCATCATATTTTATTTTTTAACTCTTAATTATATATTTATTATGTCCTAGAAGAGTTGTTCACTGGATCGCTGTGTAAAACACTCATATTTACACACTGTAAATGTCACAGATACTCCTTTCCTCTTATAATGAAGTGGATCATCCCTTCCTCACTGAGTAAAACACTGCTTATATATGTAATAACGTTTGGTGAATCATCACTGATGTCGTGTAGAGCTGGATGTGGTTAGAGAGACAGAAAGGGGAAGGAAATATATATTTCAATTGCTGACGCACATTTTTCTCTCAGTACGGAAGAGAACGACAGTAACGTTTGTCACAGAATTTGTTCTTTTATTTCAGCGAATCGCTTGTCATGATGTTGGACGTCCTGCTGCTCTTTTCCAGCATCTGTACAGGTGAGTTTCAGACTCTCAGCTCTTTTACACAGAGTTTGACTTCTTCTCTTGTTTTCCTCTTTATCACATGATCATCAGACTCATATGGAGGATATTTGTAAGTTATTATTCTGGCCTGCTTATGTCTCTTTCTCACACATAACAGCTCTATATAATGATATTTGTGTTTTCAGCTGTTGTTGGTGGAGCTTCACAGACAATTACTGGATACAGAGGAGAGAGAGTTGACATCAGATGCTCATATGAATCTGGATATGAATCAAATTCAAAGTATTTTTGTAAAGGGGAGTGTATCTATGGATCTAGAATCATCATGGTTGAATCAGGATCTCCAGCTAAAGACGAGAGATTCTCTCTGACTGACGACACGACGGCCAGAGTTTTCACCGTCACCATCACTGATCTGAGACCAGAGGATGAAGGCCAATACTGGTGTGGTGTGGAGGGGATTATTTTTGACGACTATTCAGAGATTGTGTTGCTGGTTAAAGATGGTAAGTGATTATATTTGTCAATAGCAGAAATGAACTGCATGGGAACAAGCTGAGAGTGAGAGATCAAGTCATTAATCTTGTGCAAACCCCAAATTCAGAAAAGTTGGATCATTTTGTAAAATGCTATCAGGGATCTGAGATTTGTTAATTCTCTTTAAACTTTATTTAACTGGCAAAAGTACAAAGGAAAGATTTCCAATGTTTTCATGGAAAATCTCTAAAAAAATGAATATCATCATCATTTACTCGCCCTCAAACAGTTGATGGACCCCATTGAGTAAAATACTATGGAAGTCAGTCGAGCACATCCACTGTTTAGCTTGAGCAGAATGAGGGCATTGTCTTGTTCCCAGGAAAGATGTGATCTTGATGGCAATAAATGTCTCTGATCTCTGTACAATCCCAGTATACGTCTCCACATCACTGGCACCTTCACACACGTGTAAGTCCCTGACCCTGGCGTTTGCACTGACGCTCCAGGACAGAGGTTTGCTTTTGCACCTTTAACTGATGAAAGTCTGGATGGTCCTTTTCATCTTTGGGACTGACGACTCGAAATCAGTTTTTCCCCTTAAGCGAGCTGAGATATGGACTCATCTGACCACATATCCACTGTTTTAGATCATCTGAGAAGAGCTCGAGCTCAGAGAACTCACCGGCATCTCTGCATTGAACTGATGTACAGCTTTCTCCTTCAGTTACACAGATTCTTGATTTTATTGCAGTTTATTTCCTTTTCTGGATTCGGGGGTTGTCAGCTGACTCATATAGTTGTATAGAGTTGATTGTCTGCTTATACTTCAGTGTGTTGAGTGTAAAACACAGTATTAAGTGTATAGTGGCTGTGTGTTACAGTGATGGACAACTTTAGCACAACAAGAAACAGAGATTAAATATACGATTGTATGTATTTTAAATTAAATTCACTGTCCGTGTTTTAACTTGATCTTTTTCTGTGACCCTTCAGATAATGAGACCACTGAGGCTTCAACCATCAGCACTTCTTCAAAAACACCGTCATCCTTCAGTACAACAGAACTGAGTCCACAATCAGGTCAGTTCTTCTGTTCTGTCTGAATATATTCTGGAATATTGTGCATCCAAATGTACTTGAACTCATATGTTAGATGATTACTTTGAGATTAAACGTGTTAAAGTTGTTGAAGACTGAAGGTTCAGTCCTCAGATGTTTGCTCCCGCTTATTAAAACTGTACAAGTTGCTTTGTATAAGAGTCTTTAGAATGAACATTAAAATGTTTTCAGTTGAGAGTAATCAGTGTTATGAATAAAATAATATACATCTTCTGTTCATAATCACGTGATGTGAATGGTTTGTGTGTGAATATAGAGCTTTATGTTCTCACTACATGAGCGACACTTTCACAGTCACTGGTGTTTCTCTCTGTCAGCGACTCATCACACAGAAACTGAAACAACAACAGGAAATACTACAGTTCAACTCCATCAGACAAACACTAGTAAGAACACAAACTACACTACCCATAATCCAACTCTCTGATCACATAGAATAAGCTCATTTTGGAGAAAGGAAATTGGTTTGAACATTTGTGGAGGCTCGTACTCGTGTGGTTAACATGCTTTAACATCGACCACAGACAGAAGCGTTTCCTTCTGAAGAGTTGAGGTTTACCATTGCAGTTTCATTTCAGTTACACAATATAATATAGACTATTACAATATTCTATTGTACTATAATACAAATTATTTAAATATCAATTACAAGAATATTAATAATCACTCAACGGTGTAATCAGAATCAGCATTGTATTGTTGTGTTGTTCAGATCTGGCTTCTGTTGCTGGCGGTCTGGGTTCGGTTCTGCTGGTTCTGACTCTGTGTTCTGGAACCTTCATCATCCTGAAGAAGAGGAAGAGGAAATCTGGGACAGGTAACAGTTTGTTTGTGATTATTATTGTTATTATTATTAAGTTCTATTGTAGTGTGTACATTGACTTACTCTCTATTTTCATGCAGCTTTATTTCAGCAAAACATGCAGCGCGATACAGAGGTGTGTGTTCAAATCTTTACCTGTAGAAGATCAGAAATACATGTTAAATGATTGTTTATTGATGAACATAGACTATTATTTATATTAACTAGTAGATTATTAAGGTATGTGTTGTTTTTCAGACTGACCGCATGTATGAAGAGATTCCAAACACAGTCGTCACCTTGGTAACGTCTTCATCCAATCAGACGCCTGCATCTTCATCCAATCAGACGCCTGCATCACACCACAACAACTGTACAGAAGTCTCTACTGTTTACGCCACAGTAACCAATCAGCAGCCTGATTCAAACCCCAGTCACACCCACTCGACCAATCAGGTGACAGATACAGCCGGTGATTATTATGCCAAAATAAAGTGTCCTGAAGCAACACAGGACAGCGGGACAGAACTGATCTACGTAACAGCAACACATCCACAAAACATCACAACGCATCCGCAGAACGCCACAACACACGAGGATCCGATATATTCAGTGATCAACCATAAATGAAAAAGACTCTCAAAATTTGGTAAAATCTACATTGCTTTATTTATTCAATCTTTTGTCACACTTTTCTGTACAAAACACAGTTTATAAAGTGTATAATGTATAAATAAAGTTCACAGTCATCTTAATAACAATATAAGCTGCTACCAACAGAAAATAAAAATATTTTTTTGTGAATAACATTTTTTTTTTGTAATTATTACACCTCATCTACAGTTAAAGCGAATAAAAGGTAAATTCCCTTCTTTTCAGCCTGTTTATCCTCCTCTCCTCTCCTGTAGATTCTGTGTGAAATCAAGCATAGCGTCAGTTCTGTCAGGTCACGTTAGTCAAGCTCGCATCAGTGACTCTCAGCTGATACACATCTACCCTATAGGAGACGACGCCTATCACTGTATACATATATAAGCTCTTCAATATCATCAGCAGCTGTCGCGATTCCCCTTGAATAAGAATATATTCTCGAATTATGTTGTACTTTAAAATCTTGAATTAATGATATCTGCATCCACTGTTTGTTCGTCGTTCCCTATTTTACCCCTAGACAAAAGGGAGAGACTTAACAATTCATGTTGGTTCTGTTGTGTTTCCCCTAAGGGGGGTTATCGCTGCTCTTATCCATGCTAGGCCTCATGGATGCGCAGGGAGTTCTCCCCCAGAAAGGAAGCACACCACTAATCCAAACTGTATGCTAATTGTTAATCGTATTTTTGACGATAGTGGTCCTGACAGAAGTGTATATGACACCCTCACGAGAAAAACGATATCTCTCAATAAGTAGATTATCGAGGATCCTGTCTGTCTCGCAAAACACGATTAATTCTAAAAGCTCTTCGAATTATTCTGGCACGAACAGGTTCTTGTCGTAAAAACAGACAAGACATGGCTGCGAAAGACTTCCCGGATCTCCTCCGCTTATAAAGCCGGGATCTAATCCTGTTAACATGAAATAAGCCTGCTCGGGATGACAGCAAGTCCAGGATGAGAGTCGAAGAACCAAACAATCCAAGATCATGCCAAATCGCCAACAATCAAATCCAGCTAAGTGAGTTAGCGACGTATGAAGAACAGGCCCCTGGACTGAGGATCGTGAGCTTCCCTACAGCCTGGATTCAGCCGATCACGATCTCACAACCATCCTGCAAAGATAAGACACTGATCAGATGATCTGATAAAAGCGTTTAACTGCTGGAAGTCATATTCACTGAGCTGTTAGTTTGTCCTCGCTGCATTTCAATAAATGGTTAAACGTCATCTGTGCTTCTCTTCTCTGAGTTACCGTTACAATATAATATAATATACCAAATCATCCTCGTCATTTTCATCGGTTTACTGAACATGCGTCATAATCAAGCTTGTCTTGTCTGTTCATTATAGAGTTCAGAAAGATCAGATTCATCTTCTTGAATCCAGTATTTGGTGTTTTGTGTTTTTATTGTTATTATTAGTGATGGGAAGTTTCTCAAAGCATTATTGTATCACACACTGTACCGATGCTTGTATGGAAATGACAATCCCACGGTTCCTGTTTTGCTTTGTTCTTTTCCCGCCACTCCTTAGTTGCCATGGACACCTTGATAATGAGTTTCAGTTCAGCTGTGTTAGTCATGATCTCGATAGTCGTGTCAGCTGTGTCTTGTTTCTTTGATTAAGTCCATGTGTATTTAAACCCTGTGTTCTCTCTCAGTCTCTGTCGCTTCTCGTTAACGTTTGTTAATGTGGTTTTCTCTTGCTTTTGTTCCTGGTTCCTGAGTGTTTTATTAAAGTCTTCCTTCTAGAATTATTCCTTGTCGTGAGAATTTTTCTAAGTACCACGTTATGTAACAATTATGTTGTGTCTGTAGTTAATAATGTGAATATTGTTTCCTTGTTGGATGTTCAGTTCAAGGTTTGTCTGGTTTCATCTGTTCACTCCTGCTGGTTGATGTTGTAACTGCACCGTTCAAAAGCAGCTGAATATCCTGATAAATCATTGCAAGCAACATATAAATGACTCAGATTAGTTTGAGCTCCCAAAAGCAACTGCTATTGAGATGCTTAAGAATAGCTTTATCATTATAATATTAGGAGGCCTTTAGCTTCAGTTAAACATGAGATGTATTCGGCTCACACTTGCCAAACAGGAAGTGAAACTACAGCCACAGGAAGAGCTTTGAGGCTTCAGCTAAACACACTACATTTCCCACAATGCAACTCTTCTCAGAGCTCATATGATGGAGAAACAGTGATCTTAATGTTCAAGCAATTTCTGTATTATTTATAGTTTGTGTAAACGACAGTGTTTTCCCATGCTGTCGATTACCACAGAAAATAACCCTAACAAGCTTTTCTTCTTCATCTCATGCCTTTTTCCTTCAGAGTTTGGCAAAGATTGTTTCCTTAAAATGTTAAAGTGGATGATGCTTAACATGTAATTAACATGTTTTGAATATATATAAAAACAATTAGAAGTAGAAAAAGAGCAGGAGAGCAACAGAAAGCACTTAAACATGTTAAAGGAGGACAGGAACAGGTTGTGGTTGATGAATTCACAGTTTATTAGCAGTTCAAAACTGAGAGGCGTTTTCACACCCAACGCCATGAAACACAGAGATCACAGATTCTCATCACGTGAGATGAGCAACAAGCGTATTATTTTCCTCTCCACCGACAGATGAGAGCAGTATTATTGCTGTTTGAGTTTCAGAGAGTCGTGTGAGGAACTACTGAGAGTTTCAGACTGATTTTCTGAACTGAACTGATGAAGAAATGAAGTTTCCACTGATAGTTTGTGTGTTTCTGCTGACGGGTAAGAGCTGAAGATCTCTACTAAAAGTGTTTATTATCTAATAATATGGCGTTTGTTATCAGTGTACATGAGTAAAGCTGTGTGTGTGTGTGTGTGTGTGTGTGTGTGTGTGTGTGTGTGTGTGTGTGTGTGTGTGTGCAGTGAGCAGTTCACCGTCTGTGGACATTACAGTGAGAGGAACAGAGAGAGAACGAGTGAGCATTACCTGCCCTTATCCAGAAGGATATGAAAACTCCTATAAATACTTCTACAGAGGAGTTTACGCAGAGCGTGTCCTTATACTGCGATCTGATGGAGAGTCCTCAGTGTTCAGTGGCAGATTCTCACTGAAGGAAAATCGTCAGACCAGATCATTTACAGTGACCATCAGTGACCTGAAGATGGACGATGCTGGACAGTACGGCTGTGGAGCTGGATGGACACACTACCAACATATCCAGCTAAATGTGATCAGAGGTGCCTGATATTCAATACTTAAATCTGCAGTCCGTAACTTTTGGCGCTCTAGAGGTTAATAAACCGAATGAAAGCTTTAGCGTAAGTTCTCCAGGAAGACTCATTTGTTACGTCACTTATTCCCTTCTCATCCGTCCAATCGTGTTCTAATACTTGCCGTTTAAAAGATCGGTACTTACACATGTGTGAGTTCACAGATGCTGACGCTTTCGTTCCCCTCCACCAGGATGGTCAATAGACTCAAGACTCAAGTTACACTCACTGTTTTCTCCGACCTAAAGCAGCGCTGCACAGACCGGGCGGTGTATGATATCAAAGTCCCACGAGAGAGATCAGAGAACAGTTCTGTATGCTTTTGAATCGCTCTCGCACGAGTTTAACATAAACTGAACATACTAGAGTTGATAAACTCACTCTTAGCTGTTCTAGAACCGAAATGCTTGTTTTGGTAAACAGTAAAGCATAAGTGCTGATAATGTATGGCAAGAAATCATATTGCAGTGTATTGTTTTATCAATTATTCGTCCCACCTCAACTAGATTTTTGGAGCAAGCACTAATATATCTAATATATCCTTTTGGAATTGGTCTTTATTTCTTTCTTTTTTTTATGTCATTCTTTTGATGTCTTATTGTATGCCTGATTTGCTGATATCAACAGAACTAACAGTTCTTCGTGTCACTTTATTAGGTTCTTTGTAGAACCATTTATGAAAAGGCTTTTTGACACCCATAGTAAACAAACATCACTAAACAAAATGATGTCCAAAAGACGTCTTTTCAACATTGTCTGAAGAGGGTCCATGAACGTCTATATCGGACGTGCAGAACACGTTAAAAAAAGACGTCATAAAAACTTTCATTCTGGCTCCTCAGTGGACGTCTTTTCAACGTCCGACTTTTGTGACAAAGACGTTGACGTCATTTTGCTCAGTGGGAATGAACAGCTAAATGCAGCCAGGGGCGGACTTAACCATTAGGCAAAGGTCGGCAATTGCCTTGGGCCCCGAGCTACCTAGGGGCCCCCAAAATGCCCCATTAAATTATGCTTAAGTTTTTTTTTTTTTTACTTTTCGCAAATTATATATTTCTAAAAAACAATTGCGAAAAAAGGCATCAAATCATTAGTGTCGCAGACAGGAGAAAATTAAGACTTGCTAGACCTACTTTTTTTCTATATTTCTTTGCACAAAACTCTCCAGAAAGTGCCATTTAATGGTTTATTTTCAAAAATTTTTTTTTTTTTTTGTTCTCTTTTAAAGATCGGATGGGGGGCCCCATACTACCTTCGCCTTGGGCCCCCAATTTGCTAAATCCGCCACTGAATGCAGCGCTGACAATCAAATCTGATGATAGCCTACTTTTGAGAAACATGTGCCCCTGCCTTCGTCTTCAGGCAGGAAATGAAGAGTCCGGACCCTCGCATTGCTCGCTAAGGACTACGCCAAAGAACTTTATAAATTCATGCTTGCCGAGCTGTTAATAAATATACGCTTGTTATATCAATTTATCTCCTGAGTCTTTCTGGTAGAACTTTCTATCATAATATTGCTTGCTGGCCTGTTAATAATTGTATACATGTTATGGTATTTTGGCTCCCGAGTCTTTCTGGTAGAACCGCTGAGTCTTGCTGAAGAACATTGAGCCGGATCTCCTTCTCTCTGGCGAGTCACACAGGCACTGGATTACTGGATTACTCCTCAGCGGTGCGACCGGTCTAAAGTAGTCCCAATATAAACACTTATTATATTATACCGTAGAGAATCAGGAGAAGGCAGAAGGTTTGGAAGATTGATTCATGACGTTCTCGCTCATTTTATAAATATAGTAGATTTTGAACACAAATAAAGTTACGGACTCGGACTGCAGCTTTAACACCAATCTGAATCATCACTCCTGTGTTATTGATTTATGAATGTATTACAGCTTGACGGCTATTCTTCATTTCTCAGCTCCAGTGAAAACAACACGTGTCCAGATCTCAACAACCAGCATTAGTCCATATACAAACAGCAGCACTGAACACACCAGCACAGGTACACACACACACACACACACACACACACACACACACACTCTGACATCTGCATTCACATTGTGTTTTGATGAAAATATAGTTAATTATACTTCAATCAAAACATTAATTGTTTAAACATTAACATTAATAAAGCTTCTAAACACAATTTTAATGCTGCATTTATGATCATGATTTAGTTCAAGATCATTCATGTCTTACACAAACTTGCAAAAAGTTGGAAGTTTCAACTTCTGTGAAAAATAAACCATAATTGCATCACACTGAACATTTAGAGGTTGTGATGTTCCTCAACACTTGAATCAAATGTACAACAACTGAATGTTTGACGTGTCATTTTACTGTAAATTTTCTATAGCACTTTCTTTGTTCTGCAGTTTCTGAGTAAAATCATCTCGTAATACTGACGTGCTTGATCATCCTGTTAACATTCGGTTCTGTCAGTATTGTCTGTGAATGTTCCAGTTCTGTTTTATTGTCAAGTCTAGTTATTGTTTGTTTGCCCCATCGTGGGTCTTTGTTTCTGGTTGTAAATAGACCGTGTTTTCTGAAGGTTACTGTCTGTGCTTGGGTTCTATTTAGCGTAACATGACAAACATGAGTTCAGCTTTACGTGTGTTTGACAGAGACTTTTATCCAAAGTGACTCTGTATCAGTTCAGATAATAAAGTGTCTTCTAAATGAACATTAATATAATGTGATTATCAGTAATCAGTATTATGAACAGAAAACACAACATGTGTTTATATGCAGCAATAGCTAACAGTGTTATGTGTGTGTTTGTCTATTATTATTGTGTGTTATTATATCACTGCATGAGAGACACATTCACAGTCACTGGTGTTTCTCTCTGTCAGCGACTCATCACACAGAAACTGAAACAACAAGAACAACAACAGGAAATACTACAGTTCAACTCCATCAGACAAACACTAGTAAGAACACAAACTACACTACCCATAATTCAACTCTTTAATCACATGATCACTGTGTGAAAGGAAATATCTTTGAATATTTGTGGAGACACATTTTAGCTACTGTATGAATATAAATGAACATATCAGATTTCATGTGGTTAATTTGGTTTGACATCAGCCGTAAAGAGAAGTGTTTTCTTCTGAGGAGTTGAGGTTTACCATTGCAGTTTCACTTCGGTTACACTATAATAACTGCATATTTACAGGAATAAGGAATTTATATAAGTCACATCAAAATCCCCAGTGTTAAATTAACACTGCTCAGTGTTTATATGATTCCACACTCAGAGTGTTAAAGTCACACTGAAGCAGTGCTAAAGTTAATGAGATAATTAAGTGATTAATTGAGTTATGATTGATCATTATTGAAGACACCTGATGATAACAAGCAGAATCACTGAAGGAGAAAATTAATGTAAAATGGTCACCATTATGGTGATCATTGTTTAGTTTATAATAATATAAAATTATAATAATCCAAAAAGACAACAAGGCAAGAAACACAGACAAACAGGGAAAACCACGAAACCAGGCAGAAGATCAAAAGCATGACACAGTAAACCAGAGAGACAGCGCTGATAAATGCAGTGTAACATATACAAGACTTTACAAATAGTGACTGATTACACACGGCTAATTAAGTTATGTGTATCATAATTGAGGTAATGACACACAGGTGAAAGTGATCAAACAAGTCCAGGCAATGTGTTGTGGGAATTAAAGTTCATGATGGGAAAGCAAAGGAGACGGGAGGAGTGTCCTCTGGTGTGATCGTTGCTGGTGGATGTGACACATACTACCCATACTATATAGTACATACTTTTTTTAATGGGCGCAAAGTAAATTCAAATTCAAATGTAGTACCTACTCAGATGCTACGTAATCTGGGACGCAGCAAATGTCTTTCCACATCATGTTTCCATCCAAAGTTGCAAATTTAACTTGCAAATTGGAATAGGCCTATCTCATAAAATGTTTGCGAATAAAGGACCGTTTCCATCCAGCGAGACGAAGAATGAGCAAAGTAACATTTCAGATGCTGTGCAGCGAGATCGTTCTGCTGGTTAGTCCAGTGTGTTGTGTGTCCCATCATCCCAGTCACATGAAAGTCTCAATTGACCGCATGTTTTTTATGCACATTTTTAAAATTTATGTTCATTTTGCCGTTTCCATCCAGTGTTTTTTATGTGATATCCCAAAATGCGCATAGAAATATGTGGATGCAATCATTGAAAATGAAAAGTCTGACAGGCAGTTGTCATAGTAACATGAATTTCAGTAATCCCCATATGCCTGTAATTATTCCTTTTATATTCTGTATTTTTTGATATTCTCTTTCTTTTTTACTGTATTTCAGACAGTGTTTCCTATTGTGTTTTCCAGGTTCATTTGTGATTATCATTATCACTGCGGAGGCTTTAGTTTTACTCCTGATAGCAGTTCCACTGATTATAGTGGCTGTGCGGATGAGAAAGAAGAATAAAGGTAATATTTCACACTAAATACTTGGTTGGGTTTGTGATGAAATGCATGAGAACTGAGTTAAAGGGTTTTATAATTATGAACTATAAGATAACTGAAGAAGTGAGTATGTAAGAAAGACTAATGTTGATCTATTGCTCAGGTCTGCTGTCGTCCGCCACTGTTGTGTTTAATCCAGTGATTTATGATCAGGTGAGTCAGCAGAAACTGATGATTATGGTTATTTATTGAACTCAAGGTTTACAGGAGTAATTGTGTTCGCAGATCCATTGAAACACAACCAGATTTAATGTCTTGCTCAACACTGTGATGATCCTGAAACAGGACTGTGTGTTTATGATCTTCAGGCATTGAATCTCTATCAGCTTGTGTGTGAATTATCATATTCATGTGTAAAAACTATAGACTATCTTTGATTGAGTTTTTTCTCTATTAACTTAATAACTCTTGTTTCTGTGATTATAGATCAAAGACACTGGACACTTCTGTAACCCAGAGGACAGAGACACAGAAACAACTGTATTTTACAGCTGTGTTCCATAAACTATAACGTCATATGAGACTCGAGCACTCCTTCATAAACACAGAGGAGTTCATTACACCAAACCTCAGGCTGGATACACACTTGAAGATTTTAAACCCGGTTTGGACCCCAAGTGATCGGGGGTCGCGGCCAGATTCAATGCTTGTTGCTAATGATTTTTTGTCCAATTGGGTGCTTTCATTACTATTAGTTCACTTCTCCTGATCGTATCGGAGCTCGCATGATCCCAAACCATAAATACGAAACATGTTTGATATTTCAGCCCATTCTCATCCCAAGGTGTCATACATGTGACGCTTGTGACATTTCATCGAAATCTTTCGCACATGGCGTCCTTTAGCGTCACTATGAGACGCAGAACCCAAGGCGTCATAACCGTACCCTACCCAGGGCCGGTTCTAGACATTTGGAGGCCCTAGGCAATATTCATGTTGGAGGCCCCCCACCCCCAATAAAAAACTCTTGAAACAAATATGATTCCTAACCTTTTAATTTATACAACATTTAATTTTAAATGTTTTTACTTACACAGTACATAAGTTTGGACACATTACTATTTTAATGTTTTTGAAAGAAGTCTCTTATGCTCATCAAGCCTGGATTTATTTGATCAAAAATACAGAAAAATAATATAGTGAAATATTATTAAAAATTTTAAATACTGGTTTTCCTATTTTACTATACTTTAAAATATATTTCTGTGATGCAAAGCTGAATTTAGTGTCATGTGATCTTTCAGAAAACTTTATAATATTCTGATTTATTATCAAACGTTAGAAATGGTGCTTAATATTTATTTTATAACCTGTGATACTTTTTTTCAGGATTTTTTTTTTATTATTAAAAAGTTGTTTTAAAAAAGTCTTCACTATCACTTTTTATATATTGGGGGGGGGGGGGGGGTTATCAAATAAATGCAGGCTTGTAGAGCATAACAAAAAACTTCTTTCAAAAACATTAAAAATAGTAATTGGTCCAGACTTTTTACCAGTAGGCTACTGTATGTACATATTAATCAAACTTCATCTAAGGTAATCTCTTTTTTGTTTAATGAAGATGCTATAGTTATTGTTATTTTGCTGTTTTATTCAATTTATTCACAGTTCCAGAATACCACTTCAGTGATATATGCTTTTATCATTTTTTTCATAGCTGGTATGGGCAGGATTTTCCCCTCCCATTTAATCAATATTGACTGCAGATATTGTCATATTATTAATATAAGTAATATGATATTATGCATTGCATTGCTAGCTTAAATATGCTATACACAAATCAAGTGGAAGAGAAAGACACGATCGCTACTGATTAGACAAAAATTCTAAACTGATATAGGCTATTATTGGCGTAAGTAGGCTGATGTCAGACATGGTATAATCTAATCATCAGCAGAATTTAGAAGATAGACCCATGGCCATGAGATCCTTTATTTTAAACATTTAAAAATGTTGTAGTGTGTTGGCTTTTTAACTTTGAATACAAACGTCTTGTCTTTTACTTTTGTAGCGTTTTTATTCAGCTCCCGACGCGATGTTATTCATTGTACGTGCAAATTCAAAGCGTCGCGTCTGGGCACGTCAATGACGCTCGCGCTCTTTTAAACACGAAATAAAGCGGTGAATGATTTTTCCAGAAATGACGCTGATCTACAGTACAAGTTTATATTTAGAATACATTGCAATCAATCACTCCAAAATAGATGACGACAACGCACACACCTGCATTACGAGCTGTGCTTCTTGCGTGCCTATTTAGGCTTTTGCTTCGCAGCACCTGATGGGCTGGCGTTAATGTGACGTAATGTAACAGTCTATGGTTAAGATAAACATCGTCACTATTTTTAGTTAATTGATAAAAGAGTTTGGTTCCAAAACGCAATAAATCCATTTAGATTAATTTGAGTAAAAATGTGTTTTCTTTACCAAGAAAGTGGAAAGATGAAAACCACTATTTTCTGTTTCAAACGTTCACATAGCATTTGTAGGTCATAATAACAAAAAAATTAAAATCCAGGTTTTGATTTTCAAAGATTTATTATAAAAACGGATTATTTTTTTCCCCAAAATGCAATAATCCAAAAAAAAAGAAAAATCAAAATGCAATTAATCCATTGAATCAATATAAAAGGTTTTTTTCATATTGAAACTGTTGAAAATACACAACAACGTAAGTTTATTAGTATAATATTTTTATTAAGAACTGTAAAGAAGATTGAAAACATTTTTCCTCCTCCCGAGTGCCTCACCTTAATCTCCTCACGTAAATGATTCGATTTCGATGCCTTACGTTTCTTACCCACCGCAGAAACAACCACAGGTTCATCAATGCCGTCAAAATTATTAATTTTTTTGTTTGTTTGTTGATCGAAAAGTACAAAATCGATAAGAAAAACTAGGAAGCCGGGTGTATTTAAGGCGCTGCCGTTACTGTTTTCATTGCGTGGAATGGTGCGTTGTGATTGGTTGAGCGGATATATCGCCTTCTGCAGAGAAGGGAGACTGGCGTTTGTCGCGGTTTGGAAAGAAAGGGAGAAAACATGACAGAATAACACGGCGGATATCGCATTTTACTTAAAATTAAACTTTGACTTTTCAATACCAACCAGATACAATACTGATTTTTGCAGTAACTAATTTTTTTTCAAAATGGCGTTTATCGCGTTTTGGAACCAAACTCTTGGACATTTGTACATTTATTTTTTTTTTATTTTTTTTTTGTCCCTCTGTCTGGGCCCCATCCCGCCAATCGGGCCCTAGGCACGTGCCTAGTTTGCCTTTGCGTTAATCCGGCTCTGACCCTACCCCAGATACCCATAACAGTGCGTGTTATATTGACGCTAAAGGATGCCATGTGCGTAAGATTTCGACGAAATGTCATGTGGCGTCACCTATATGACGCCAAAGGATGAGAATGTGTTGGATATTTCCGACTTCCGAGAAAGATGATCACCGTATTATTTTTAATTGAGTTTTTCTTCCCGTAAATCAAAACTCACTCCAGGAGAACCCGTTGATGATGTCAACCGTCCTCCATTTAAAAAAAAAAAAAAATTTATCAAGTCACATTTGATCTTGTGAGTCTCTGTGAGATCTCGCATCACTGTGAACATAATCGACAGGTGTGTGTCACGCGGTCCGGACGAATCTTCTAGTGTTTGCGTTCAGAGGATTATAATGCTAACATCGGTTGAAACTTTCATTATGTCCGTGGTCTTCAACAGTTTTAAAATCGATTAAGAAAATCATCTAGTGTGTGTCAGGCCTCAGTCACACACATCGTCTGGTCTCATTACAGACTCTCTAACTGTAAGATCTTACATGAGCTTCTTACCTCCAGTGTTTCTGATCCCAGTGTTCCTCATTATTCTCCCTTATTACTCCTGAGGATCTCCAATCCTTCATCCATCTCCATCGTTCACTCAGTGTCTCCCCTGGACTGAGGATCGTGAGCTTCCCTACAGCCTGGATTCAGCCGATCACGATCTCACAACCATCCTGCAAAGATAAGACACTGATCAGATGATCTGATAAAAGCGTTTAACCTGCTGGAAGTCATATTCACTGAGCTGTTAGTTTGTCCTCGCTGCATTTAAATGGTTAAACGTCATCTGTGCTTCTCTTCTCTGAGTTACCGTTACAATATAATATAATATACCAAATCATCCTCGTCATTTTCATCGGTTTACTGAACATGCGTCATAAACAAGCTTGTCTTGTCTGTTCATTATAGAGTGCAGAAAGATGAGATTCATCTTCTTGAATCCAGTATCTAATCCAGTGTTTTATTGTAATTATTAGGGCCGGGCGATATATCGCACGATATTGTTATGCGCATCTCGTCAGTAAAGCCGGTTCCTTGATTAGTAGCAAATCGCCTTCACCTGCTTTCAGATGGAGCGGCATTTACTACAAAGAGCCGTAGTTAACTGACAAGCTGAGCCATATCGCATTAATATCGCATTAATATCGCGGACGTATCGCCAGCGATATTTAATGCGATATGGCTCAGCTTGTCAGTTAACTACGGCTGTTTGTACACAGCAAAAACTCCAGTGTTAAATTAACACTCCTGGGAGTGTATATGAGTCCACACTCAAGAGTGTTAAAGTTAATGAGATAATTAAGTGATTAATTGAGTGATGATTGAGCATTATTGAAGACACCTAAAGCAGAATCACTGAAGGAGAAAATCTAAAATTGTAAGCCACCGTTATGGCGATCATTGTTTGCTTTAGTTGGGCTCTTGACCCTTATATTAATAACTTTAGATATTGTTTGTCTGTTGTATCTGAGTTATAACTGCCAGATGAACAAAGAAAAAAAAGTGATTTAATGGTGTTGGTTAAATTATGACAATCATCATTTGATCTTTATGTTTGTGATTTATGCTGTTGGTTACAGCATTACTGTGATTCTGCATAAATATTCAGAGTTTTATTTATGAATATAATATAAAGGATTTCTTAAAAGTTGTTTAAAAAAATCTTCCTATTAGGCACACACAGACATCAAGATTCAGTCAATGCATCTCAACAATGGTGACGAGCAGAATATTAATTTAGGAAAAGTAAATTACATAGAAAATTCAGATCATAATTTATTCATACCGCAATGCATGATGGGAGCCATTAATGAGTTGTGATTGGTGGCAGCCACTGCAACATGCATTATTATTGTCACCATTGTTGAGATTCACAGGCTGATTATTGATGTCTGTGTTTCTAAATAAATTTAAATGAAAGCGTTTTGATCAGAACAATGATTATTAAATACTTTGGATTATAAGAAAAATACTGATAATCATTTGCTGTAGAATCACAAAACTGTTAATAACAAGTTAAACCAAACTATCTCAATAAGTTTCATTTTTCAGATCACAGCATGATTATGCCAAAACATAACCAACACTATCAGATCATACTTTTATTTGTTCATTTGACTGTAATAAATCAATAACAGCAGACAAACAAAATTTAAAGAAGAAAGTATAAGGGTCAAGAGCCCAACTAAAGCAAACACTGATCGCCATAACGGTGGCTTACAATTTGTGATTTTCTCTTTCAGTGATTCTGCTTGTTATCATCAGGTGTCTTCAATAATGCTCATTCATCACTAAATTAATCACTTAATTATCTAATTAAATTTAAC